TCTGCTGTTATACGCTGACACTATGCTAGGTTGAGCGAAAGATCTCACTTTTCGGACCACTGTATAACAGCCGGCAGATCCTGATATACGTTCGTTCCAGCCACTTTGAAGTCGTCTGCGAACATAAAGCGCGGGTTGTTGATTTCCCGTGGCAGATCGCTGACGAACATCAGAAATAGCATTGGGCCTAGCACAGAACCCTGAGGGACACCGCTAGTCATGTTGGCCGGCACCGATGAGTGCACACCTACCTTGACCTGGAAGGTGCGGTTAGTTATAAAGCAGTAGACCCACTTTCTCACTTTCCCCCCAATTCCTAATAGTTGCATTTTATGGTGAAACCCCTGATGATTTACCGAGTCGAAGGCTTTGCTAAAGTCCAGGTAACGGACCTCGACATGCTATCCGTCGTCTAAGAGTCGCGTGACCTCATCGAGGAAAGTAAGCAGATTTGATAGACAAGACTTCCTCTTAATAAAGCAATGTTGAGCTGGCGTGAGTAGCTCATGCCCTACGAGGCACGCAGCCATATGCTTATGTACAATCCTTTCTATGCATTTGCATAGGACCGACGTCAGACATACTGGTCTGTCGGCCTTTTGCTTTGACCCAGATTTATGCAGAGCAACTACCATCGCTATTTTCCAATTTCCTGGTATCTCGCCTTTATCTAGAGATGCCTGAAACATCTTTGATAGAGGCCCTTGGAGCATCCCCGATAGAGGTTTAACAATAGTGGGGTGGATGCCATCCGGTCCCGCTCCCTTGCACTTATTCAGGGTAGCTAACTCCTGAAAGTCTTCGTCTGGTGCACAGTTAGCTCAGTCAGCTGTGATGTCGCACTGGGATAATCTGCCACAACCAACGGTGCTGGCTGTCTGTACACCCCCTTAAGGAAAGCCAGAAGGGTATGTGCCTCGTCTTCCTCGCTTAGGGCAAGACATCCATCAGTGCTTTCAAAGGTTCCAATCCCGTTTCTTGATGCCTTTTGAGATTGGGCGTAAGCATAGCACCTTTTTGGGTTCTTTTTTGTTTTTTTCGCAATCCCATGCTCATCGTTGTACCTGACCCTTTGCTACATAGCCTGCGCACGGTTTCTTGCTGTCATGTAGCTACACCATGCCTGATGAGAACTGAGCCGTTTGTGAAGCGACCACTTTCGACTCCTTGTGGCCGGCGCCCTGTGTTTCCACCATGGTGGCCGTTGTTTGAGCCTCCTAGGCCTCAGGGGTGCAAACTCTTCGGTGAGCCTCAGCAAACTATCTTTAATTGCAGCCCGTCTATCTTCGATGGTAGGATCAGCTGCTGACGGTTCCCAGTCTAAATCTAACGCTACCTCTCGAAGACTCTTTTTGAACATTCCCATACAACCGAACAATTTTGATCCCTGACTTAGTGTACTGTGTCAGTACTTTTATCTCAAGGACAGCGCGGTCGCTTCTGCCTAAGGGGCCTCTACCCGGAGACTAACGACATCTGACCTTGCTAAAGAAATAGATAAGTCAAGGATTGAGGACCTCTGTCTGAAACGGAAACGAGTGGGTTCCCTTACATGCTGCACAAGCACATGCGAATGGATTCACTCCAGTAGTGCTCTCTCCGCAGTTCCTCTGCGAGCTCGTTCTTCTTCTCAAGCTATTTCAGGAAGGTTTACATCACCCACAATGAGAAACCTATGGGCCCTTCGAAGCACCTCTTGTAGGGTACGCATCAGTTCATTATCCTCAGTCACCGTTGAGTTTGGTGCCCTATAAACGCAGACAATGTCTACAGTCCCGATCCAACCTTTAAGTGGCAAGCAGTAACCTGAATATTGGGAGTAGCCAACTGCAGTGGCTACTCTTATTGGTGAAAGGTAGTCAACACAGCTAGAAGGACTCCGCCCCCTTGCCTTCCTTCTACTCTATCCTGTCTATATTCGGTATATTCTTGCAGATCCAGAATCATATCTTCACTCTTGAGATAAGTCTCAGTGACAGTAATGACATCTGCTTCTGCTGACCTGGTCTTTGGCTCCCATCATTGCCCCGGAGGCTGCAGGCAACTGTCTACCAGACAGCCACATCAGGGGAACTGAGCTTTATTTCGCTCGGGTCCTTTTTTGTTGGGGTAACCTCGGGCGTAAGACCCGAGTGAGAGTTAAGATTTTGCCTTAAGGGAGGGTGATTTCGGAGTCACCTTCACATCCCATCTAATGCCATCATTCCTTATTCTGATGTCTTCATCGCTGAAGTCATACTTCAGTCCATCTTCTGAGGAAGGAGGCGACTGACCTTTTATTAGTGCAACTTGCACTGATACCCTCAGCGTTATTGAGAGGTATGAGATGAGCCATGCCAGGATAGAACCGGTGATACCGCAACCGCGAATTTTTGCCAGAAGTGGTGCGTGTGAGACGCAGTCGAAAGCTTCCGACATGTACAAGAATAATACGATGACTGACTTTCTACAATCAATGGATGCTGTGAGGAGATTGAAAAGGTCAAGTTGGCATGTCGTGCATGAAAGAAGTTTCAAAAAACAATGCTGGTTGTGGTTTATGCGACTGTTTGTCAGCAGGTATTGTGTTATATGAGATTTAACGATTTTTTTATTAATCTGGCTATACTGGGTCTACAAATGATTGGACGGTAGTTGTACATGGTTTGTGGGGGTCCATTTTTGTGGCGGGGGATTATGATGCTGGATTTCCATTGGGCAAGGAAGATACCGTTGTTAAATGAGAGAGTGAAGAGGTTTAAAAGGATAACAGCTAAGTCGGGGCCACCATAGCGATACAGAGTTGGTGGAAGTCCGTCAGGACCGGGCTTAACGGAGGGTTCCACGGTGCGAAGTATGTTTTGATTTTCGGGAAGGGTGAAGGAGATAATCGAAAGTGTCGCGTCTGTCAAAGGTAGTACGACGGGACAGCTGCCGATCCCGTCCGAGGTCATGGCAGATGGGAAGAAGCTGTTGAAGGCTTCGGATATTGTGTGGGGAGAGTCAGCACGGGAGTTATCGGGTAGAAGGAGGTATGTTATTTCCAGAGAAGGTCGTTCATTTCTATTAGACAAGATTTGCGCTGAGTGTCGTAATTTGTCTGCTTTTGAGAGTGATTTCTGTTCTTGTTTTCTAAGAGCATTTTCCTTGTCAGTGAGAATATGTTTAGAAAGTTTATGTAAGCGGAGTGAGATAAAGAAGTCTCGCGTTTTCCGGTAGAGCTGATGGAGCATAAGGTATTTAGCATCAAGACCGTGGGTGTTGGGTTTTCTATTTTGTCGGGGGCTTATTAAGGTAAGAGCTTTTTTCAAACATTGAGTAAGGTTTGTGTAAAAAATATCTGCCGCGAGCTGGGGGTCTTCTGTTAACAAAAACGCATCACAAGCTTATCGGCGGATATAGATAGGAATGTCATTCCACTTGATGAGATGATAGAGTGAGAAACGCGTGGGTTTTTGATGTGCTGGGAATGGAATCTTGGGTGCGCATGAGACTACTTTATGGTCACTGCCCGGAAAGTGGTCCAGGACCAGGGTGGAAACTTCAGAGTGTATCGTGGTCAAAGCTAGTTACAATATATGATCACCTCTATTTGGGGTGTTTGTGTGTGGGTTCCATTTACCGATCCTTATACTGGATAAGAAGTCATGAAGGGCACTTGGCGCCATAAGAGAAGTCCAGTTTGGTTTATATTCGGGAGGTTAAAGTTGTCTGCGATCAGTTTTACCCTAAGGAGATTGTCAGCCAATTAATTGAAGGAGTCAAGAATTGGTTTGAGATTTAAAAACCATTACCGGGTGGCCTACAAACACATCCTATGCTTAGAACCATGTTTTTAGGACGACTGAAACCACAGAGAGTTTGGGGTCCTATCAAGAAACGGCTGTTTCGAAACGGTAAAGGACAGAGGTTTTGTTACATATGCCAGGTATCCGCATCCACGACGGCTTGATCGGCAGTTCCTGATGGTTGAATAAAGGATCAGGGAAAATTCTTCAGTCGATGTGGTTTCGGGGATCCAAGACTCGGTGATAAGTATAATACCGAGATCTAATGTGAGTGCTAGACACTTTATTGCCTCTATTTTGGGGCAGATTGAGCGTGCATCTATAAGGGATAGATCGAAAAAAGACCTAACAGAGGTGGGGGAGGAATCAATGACTTGTGGGGCTTATGATGTCGATTGAGGGAGGTGCGCAGATAGAATGGGGGATCTTTTGTGATTGGGAGTGGGGTTGGGTGCATTTGTGCAGGGTCAGATATAGGGGTGGAGTTAGAAATGTGGCTGATAGTAGGGTCGCCAATGTAGTGCGGAGGGTTGAGACATCCGGTGAAACAGTGAAAGTTTTGAAAGAAGGTAATAGCGGGGGCAGAATTAAGATTTATGGGTTGAAAAGGAGGATTTGTGGGTAGGGGTGGTGGGACGGAGTGAAATGTTGGCTGTATGTTTTTGTTTGTGAGAGAGAGTGCGAGGTTGATGCTTGGGGGCTGGGTGTACGATGGGAACAGTGTTTGTCCTGCAGATGGTGGTCTACGGGGCAATTGAAAGTGGGATTGTCGTGCTAAGTGTACGGGTTGGGGATAGGGCCGTAAAGCGGCAGTCGGTGTTTGTTTCTCGGGAGGGCAACCCAGAATAGATTTGGGAGGCGTTTTTGGAGGGTGTTTACCACTGAGGCTAGACAGGGGTTTGAGTTCAGGGAGGGTAAATTAGACGGTTTCTTAGTTTGCTGGTATACGGTAATTTCATGATGAGTTCTCAATGTAGAAGCCATTTTCCGGGGAGGATGAGGGATGTGGTGATTGCTCATGAACTACGAACTGATTAGTTTTATTGAACACGATATCCTTGTATATTTCTAATTTCCACCTATCACAATTCGATTTCGCCTCTGAGTTGACTTCTGATTTCGTTTTGAGTCCTAGTTCTGGGTCGGACTACTAGTGCGCGGAATCCGATACGTATACGAAATAATAGTCTGAGTACGAACTATAACAACTGTCGTCGCGGTCATTTTGAACCAATGGAGTCCTGTAATTTGGAGAACTTGAATATACATGCCAGTGCGCGCGAAGTCGAATACTATCGTGAACCGTTCGAGATTTGGTGTATTACGCGGAAGGGACTCGATGAAGAACGTAAAACGGCTTATTTCCTAACGGTCATCGGGAAGGATGCATACTCATTGTTGAAGAATATGGCATTTCCTGACTCCCCTATATCGTTATCATATGAATCCCTGAAAACATTGCTGCTGAAGCATCTACAGCCGGCTAATTTCGAAACTGCTGAACGAGCCAAATTTCATTCACTCACCCGTGGTGAATGCCAACCTGTATGTGACTTTATTCTTCAGCTTCAGACTCAAGTATCTCGTTGCAACTTCGGAAATCAATTGCAAACCCAGTTACGTGATCGATTAATTGCCGGTATTATTTGACCGGAATTACAGCAAAAGCTGCTGCTCATGCACGGTTGCACATTTCAGTTGGCTACGGCAGTCTGTGAACAGTACCAAGACGTCCGTGCCATTATTTGTGATGAATCCAACTTGTTGTTCAATGCCAGCGATTCCAAACAGTCACCATCCCGATGAAAGCGGTTTTTCGAAAAGGGCTTGAAAACACCAAGCAACATCAGTTCTCCGGCCCGCAATGATCCATGGATTCAAAGATGGAACAAGTGCAATTTCTGTGGTTAAAATCATTCGCGGCTATCTTGTAGATTTCGAAATGCCAAGTGTCACAATTGCGGTAAGCTTGGCCATATCCAATCTGTCTGTCAAAGTGCGAAGTAATGTCTTACCAAACGTACGACTGTCCATTCCTCTAAAGACTTATTGTGTGATTTACAGTCCTTAACTCTAGCCAGTACCAGTTCACGTCCCTCTCGCCATATTACTTACGACTTCATCATTATTGACTCCATTCACAACACATTCATTATGGACACCGGCATTGTTGATTCTTTCACTTCCAACAAGGTATTTCGTCAGTTAAACCCCCCGGTTGCACTTTACCCAACAGACATTTCAGTTAAGAAAATTACCGGTCATTTCTTGCCCGCCTTAGGATCATGCGAACTGCTTCCTTAAGACGATAAATTACAAACATTTCACTGCCCGTGTTTGGTTATTGATTCCGACATTTCGATAATTGGTTTGAATTGTATGACTCGTATGCATCTGTCATTTTCATTCATGTCTGACTCCCATCAATCACGCCTTCGTCACTTAGTACTTGGATGTTCCAAGGCAAAGGGTGGTATCAAAATGACTCCTGTGAATCTCGAAGCGACCGGTTCTTCGGTATTTATGAAACGTCGGATTATCCCACTTTGACTTCGTGAGCCCGTAAAAAAGGCGTTGGATGAAATGGTAAGCAAGGGGATTCTGACACCCGTAAATTCTTCGTCTTGGGCCACGCCAATGGTTACTCCAATAAAACGTGACGGGAAGACCCCCAGGATATGTGGGGATTATCGAGTCACAGTGAACAGACACTTGGAACAGTCTAGTTGTGCCACCGTCCAACCAGAAGACATTCTGCACCAACTTCATGGATCCAAATTTTTCTCTGGTCTAGAATTGAAAGATGTATTTCTTCAAATTTCTCTTGATGAAAAGTCCCGTGAACTCACGCTATTAGCACACCTTTTGGTTTATTTCGCTACAACCTTCTACCGTTTGGACTCAGTGTTTCCCCTGCTATTTTTCAGACTACCAATAATTCCATAATTTCTGGCTTACAAGGTGTATGTGCCTATCAGGACGATATTATTGTTCATGCGTCTAGCAGACACTTACATGACGAATGTTTGAGTGCTTTGTTTGAAAGATTCCGTTCTAATAATACTTATATTAATTCTGATAAATGTACCTTTGGTACGACTAAACTTTCATGTTTAGGTTATTTGGTTGATGAATCCGGATTTCTTCCTGACCCTAATGGATTTTCTTCGTTGACGAATACTCCATCTCCCAAGTCATTTCATTAACTTCGTTCTTAAATTGGTTCTTTACAATACTATTTCAAGTTTATTCCTAACTTTTCAACTCAAGCTGCTCCATTGTTTGATTAACAGTCACAGCAAACATTTCGGTAGACTTCCGTCCAAGAACGTGCCTTGAGGAAGTTACTTTCCTTTTTAACTGCCACTTTTGCGTCCTTTCTCCCCAAGATTACATTCTACCGTCATCACGGACTCATCGCCCGTTGGAATTGGAGCTGTGTTGGAGCAGAATGGTCATCCGGTGCTGTGCATCTCACGCAGACTCACGGNTCTATTGGGCTGTCACGTGTATGCACAAGTATCTTTATGGTACTCATTTCACTATTGTGATTGATCATGAGGCCTTGCAGTTTATTTACAACCCTCAACGTTCCCTGGCTAAGTCATCTGCAGCC